ATTTGAGGAATTTGATCCATATGAGGAATTTGGTCCATATGAAGAATTGGATCTGGGGTTCCTGTTCTTCACAGGTGGTGTCATGAGGACATTCACCTGAAGACTTTCAACATAACTTTTGGGAACCCAGATTTTCTTCATAGGGGAACCGTTCCTGCAGTTAGTGCCAACATATCTAGCAAATACTTCACCATTCTGATTTTTGAACAGTTTATAGTTGGAGTCAAATGACTCATCAGAAGAATGAGAATATTCACATGTAAAGCCAGATAAGTTAGATGGATCAACTGGAGGTCCCTTTGCAGCAACCCGTGAGGTTTTGGGGTACTGCTCAGGCTTCCAATATGTTCCATCAGCATTGAGTTTCCTCTCAAAGGCAATACCCTCTTTCCTAGGGTTTCTGTTGAGGATCTGCTTATTGAGCACATCACAAAGAATCTGATGCCCTTTGAGGCTTTTGTACATGCCTGTCGTGTACAATTCCTTCAGCCCTGCATTGTTAGTGATACTAGCAATGTCCTCAGATGAGGAATTAGTGATAGCAGAGGCAGGTGAAAAATTTGTAACAGTTGAAGCAATTGAACATTCAGGTGAAGAATTAGCAGATTCATGTTCAATGCACTTTAAGAAGGGAGGAACAAATTCTTCTTGAGTAGCGCTGATTTGTTGAGCAAGTAATGAATTGCGATCCTTCAGAAGATCTTCATGACTCACTCTTAGCTTCTCAAGATCTTGCTTTCTTTGAAGGAATTCATAAGAAAGCTTCTTGTGATCAGATAAGAGAGTGTTATGATGACTTGGAAGGTTGTCAAACTTAGAATGAAGTCTCTGAAGATTTTCAGTTAAGTCTTTAGTGTGGTCCATTTCATCACCCAACATATCATCACTTTTGTCTAGCATGTTTTGAAGTTTTCCAATAGCCTTTTGTTGTTTCACAGCAATATTAGCAAGTTTAGAGTAACTCGGCTTAAGATTTTCATCAGATTCATCCTCACTAGATTCAGAGGAGGGGTATTTTGTTACCTTGGCACCTTTTGCCATGAAGCAATAGGTGGAAGCGTAGTCATCATTGTCTTTGTCAGCCTTGTTGGTGCGGTCAATTTCTTCAGAGTTGAAGATAGACTTGCTGACGAAAGCAGTAGCGAGAGCCAAACTCGCCACACCCGACTCGGACTCCTCAGAAGCCTCCTCTTCCTCATGTTCCTTAGATTCGGCTTCAGACTCCATTTCCTTGCCAATGAATGCCCGAGCCTTCTTGGAACTGCTCTTCTTGTGAGATGAAGACTTCGAGGATTTTGATGATGAAGATTTTGAAGATTTCTTCTTCTTCTTAGCGTCGTCAGAACTGTAATCCTTGTATTTCTTCTTCTTTAATTCCTTTTCCCATTGAGGACAATCCTGAATATAGTGACCAGGTTTGTTGCATTTGTGGCAAAGTCTTCTCTTATAGTCACTTGATGAGGAATCACTGCTTCTTGAGGATTTTCCAAAGCGACCACGTTTTGAGAACTTCTGGAACTTCTTCACGAGCAGTGCTAGCTCCTGGCTCAATTCTTCAGGATCACCGATGCTACTACCAGAGTCTTCACATTCAGATTCAGACACAGCCTTGGCCTTCAGGGCACGTGTTTTGCCATAGCTTGAACCATAGAGATCTCTCTTTTCAGCAAGCTGGAACTCATGAGTATTTAGCCTCTCGAGGATATCAGCTGGATCTGGTGACTTGTAATCAGCTCGCTCTTGAATCATCAGTGCCAGAGTATCAAATGAGGAATCTAGCAATCTCAGCAATTTCTTCACCACCTCATGGTCGGTGATGCCAGTGGCGGCAAGCGCTTGAAGCTCATTTGAGATGTCAGTGAGGCGATCGAAGGTTTGCTGAACATTTTCATTGTTGAGTCTTTTGAAGCGGTTGAAGAGATTGCGAAGAACGTCAACACGAGAGTCACGTTGAGTTGAGACTCCTTCGTTTACTTTGGAGAGCCTATCCCAGATAAGCTTAGCAGTTTCCAAAGCACCCACTCTACCATACTGTCCTTTACTCAGATGACCACATATGATATTCTTCGCTTGAGAATCGAGTTGCTTGAATCTCTTCACATCAGCAGCATTCAGAGAAGGTGTGACTGAGGGAACACCATTTTCCACAACGTACCAGAGATCGTTGTCAATTGCTTCAAGATGCATTCGCATCTTATTCTTCCAGTAGGGGTAGTCCGTGCCATCGAAGGTAGGACACCCAGCGGAGACCTTGATCATACCTGCGGTCGACATAACTAAAACTCTAGGTGGTTAAACCCAAATCACACAGAACAAGGGAGTACCTTGCTCTGATACCAATTGAAAGTGCGTTATATCGACTAGAGGGGGGTGAATAGGCGATTTTTATGAATTCTTCACTGAGGAATTTACCGGTGAGGAAATTCCTTAGCGAAGAACTACTAGCAGTGGAATAAGTACTCAGAAGTAAGCATAACATGATACATACATAGTCATCATGATGAAATGAAGACAAGCACAGAGTACACAAAGCGTAAACACAGGATAACACAAGATGAAGACAAACAGACTGAAGAAATTGAACTGAGGAAATTGAGAAAGTCTTTAGTCAAAGTCTTCAAACACAGATATGAACAATCACTCAACACAGTAATGAGGAAATGAAAGAGTTGAGGAAATAGAACCAGTAAGGTTGGTGAAGACAATGATTTGTTAGACCAGTTCCAACTGCTGTCTCAGTTGTACGTCTGGTTGGAGCGGCTGAGTATTTAAACTCGAGGACACGCAGTCCCGGACACTCGGTCACTAAGCACGCAGCTCAGGACACCAAGTCCTCATCGTATTCTCCTTGAACTAAGATCACACAGATCTCGTCCAATCACTCGTGGTAAGTCTACAGGCGACTTCCAAACCTTCACAGACTCGGTCGCTCGGCAATCCACAATTCCTCTTGGATGCTCTAGACCATGACGCCTAACCGACTGGAAGAAGCACAGTCTTCAAAGGTAACAAGCGTCAGATCCACGCAGGATCAATCTCTTCAGTGATGCTCAATCACTTTGGGGTTTGTAGGTGTTTGGGTTTGGTATTTTCCTCACTCGATGATTTTCGCTCAAAGTCCTCGGAGGATGGGTTGCTCTCAAATGACAAGTGTCAGTTTCTCTCGGAGCAGCCAACCAGCTAGTGGTTGAAGGGGGTGGCTATTTATAGCCTAGGGAGCAGCCCGACATGATAAGACATAAATGCCCTTGTCTGATATGACCGTTAGGTGGATAAGATATTTTGGGACAGCTGGCGCGTAGCACAACAACGGTCGGAAATTTGACTATCAAATTCCTCAGGGCTATCATGATCCTCACTGTGTAGGCAATCCGCACTGGCGAATTCCTAACTCCTCAGTCAAAACAAATTCCTCAGCGACCAGAAGAACTTCGTCTCTCTCACTGAAGAAATTGAATGAACTGTATGAGATTTCCAAAGGCTTCACTCGAAGGGTTTGGTAGGTGTAGGATTTTGAGTTGAGCATCACATGGAAATTTTTCCTTAGTATTTCCTCGACCCCCTTTAACAGTACGGTGTTTCCTATGACTCAAGAAAGAGAAAAACAAAACTATGAAAGCAAAAGTCTTCAAGCTTCATATTCCTCGCATGAATATCAAGTCTTCACGGATACACCAATTTCTTCACTTTCAAAGTCTTCATGAAAGTCTTCAGAAATACCAAAATCTTCAGTCGAAGATATTCATTTTTCGGGGTCGACTTTCCCTGTAAATGTCAAACTCCCCATAGACTTATAGACCTATGTACACTCACAAACGCATTAATCCCTTAACCTATAAGTCTTCAATACACCAAAATCACTAAGGGGCACTAGATGCACTTACACATGAAAATAACAAATGAAGTGAATCTTTGGAGGCAGCAAGTGTTACCTTGAATTTGTACTCGTAAATCTGGGTCTTATGTTCCTCCTAATTTCCTAGCCTGATCTTTAATTTTACTTCTGTGGTGTATTGGACAACCTAACTTGTTGCACATGCATGCGTAGGACATAACTCATCCAGCTGCTGATATATGGCCATCTCCAGAAGAGTAGATACCTAGGCTGAAAGGATTCACAATATATTTACACATTGCGCCGAGCTAGAAATTTGAATGCCTGACATAGTACATAGCTGTGCTGGCAAGCCTGTCAGAATTCACAATTTAGTACTATATATGTAGTAATAAATAGAGAAGAAGGGAAATGGTAAGAACAGCCGGCGTGTTACCTTGGGCTAGGAGCTTACAGACAAATTTCTTCGATTTAGTTTCTTGGCTTGATTGTGTAGCTTGCGACTGCATTCATTTATTGATAGCTCCCGCAGAGAAGTGGGGAATCCCTTCTTGGGCAGCGGTCGGATTTTTCGACAGCTGATGGCTTCTAGTGTCCTGAGAGAAGGAAGGCCGTGTAACCCTTGAGGGAAGGACCGCAGACGCCGGCACCTCCAAAAAATTAGTTCTTGGAGTGAGGTGAGGAGCTGAAGCGCTTTCTCTTCATCTTTCGTGAGGTTCTCCACCTCTCGATCACACGTGATCACTAACTCCTTCAGGGTAGTGGCGAGTAGTCGACAAACTGGAGCAACAAGCACAACTGAGATGCTATCCACATCAAGTCTTTCCAACTGGAGTAAAGAGCCAGCTGTAGGTGGTAATAACTTTTTACTCCTTGTTATTTCCACCGCCAATTCCGAGAGAAGATCCGCGGCTACAGAAGGAGGGTAATTTTCAATTATGTTGTGGACGGCCAAAACCTTGTGGTTGGAAGCCATGAGAAGATTAAACCCATCCACTTTGAAATTCTTACAATCTTGTATGCTTAGATAGGTGAGAGACGTAAGGGACGAGAGCGATGCCATCGACTGCTTGCTTGAGTATCCTTCAATTTCAAGTTTCTCGAGGGAGGTTAAACTTTGGAGGTCTATGTGTGGGATAGTCGATCCTGCTTTAAATGTGATGCTCTATACTTTGCCGGCCATATTGTGCCAGGCGACTGCACTGCTATACCTCGTCAAATACAAATTATGGTTGGTGTACACCATCTTCCCAGTACGCCTACTATACACAGTAACTTTAGTTAGTGTGCAAGTGTGAGGCATGACTGGCATAGGCAACTTTGGGCAACCAGTAATTTCAAGTTTCAACAGATGGTTATAAGAGCCCGCAGGGCAATCCTGTAGGAACGGTAGTGAATAGAGATTGGGACATTTTCTGCAAACAATTCTTTCAAGCATTGAAAATGAATGGGCATTAGGTGTCCCAACCCACTCAGTAAATTCTGACAAAGAATCAAGAACAATCTCCTTCAACTGCATAAAACTTCTAGCCGTAACCCCAACAATGCCTGGTCTGATCTGAACAAGTGTAGAAATGTGAATCAATGTGAGTGATCTGAGATGCAATAACTGCCCAAAAGGTGGAAGAATGGACCAAGACACACCCTCTAGGTGAAGAGAAATAAGCATCTTTATGCTCATGTGATCACACAACCAATGAGGACTGACTGAACCACCATGGTTTATAATGCCAAGTGATTGCAGATTAGGATGTGGCTCAAGACCATCAAGAACATCAGATAATTCTGCTGTACCATCAAGGGCACTAGATGATTCTGTTGGACCATCAAGGGAATCAGATGATTCCGATGCACCATCAGATGATTCCGATGCATCCAATTCTCCCCAAACCAACCTCAACTCTTTCAAATCACCTTTTGACACAAGCTTGGCTTTCCTGGCCTCTTCCTTGGTTGCCACATTTCCAAGATTATATATACTGAGTTCTCCTCCAAGCACTGTTAAATCCCCCAACTCACTTAATTCAAATCCATCACTCTCTTTCTTGACATGGAATTCTTTAAGCTCCTTTAAATTCTTCATCTTTCCTACCTCAGGAACATTGGAATGGACTTCTCTTTCGGCAATAAAATGGCATAAATTGCTAAGGCGGTTAATGTCTTTAGGTAAGTTAATACTTTGATCATACCAATCACTTAGGTCCAATAATTGCAAGTGATAAAATCTTGAAAGTGTGCTAGGGAAAGTCACTTCTGAACCAAAATTTGATGGACTAATTTTTAGGTATCGTAGGTGGATAAGTTTTGGAAAGAAATGTGGTAAAGATTCTGGGGATTTGACTTCAATAAAAAGAACACGAAGAGCCTCCATTTCCTTGAATGTGTCTTCTATAACCTCATCAATTTGTTCCTCATATTTTCTAAAAATCATTAGAGCACGCAAATTTGCAATGTCTACCTTGCTCTTTAATTTAATCATTTCTATCCTAGAAGTCTCAACGTATTTGTCTTTCATGGTGATGGACAAATGACGAATGGATTTTGGGACATCATTAGCTCTAAAGCTTGCATTGCTATATATATTTAGGCATTCTTGTGACGAGACACTCTGAGCTAGTTCATGCAATAAATCATGCAGCACATAGTACTGTTGATTTGACCAACGATCATTCTCCTTCACGAGAAAACCATTTTTCAAAAGTTCTTCCATGTAATTCTCATATTTTTCAATGATCCCTAATGCACTCCAAAAACATGTAATCTCTAGATTGCTAAACCTATGGTCTTCTGGAAATAGGGAAAAACACGAGAAACATTTTTTCAGTTGGAAAGGAAGGTAATCATAGCTAATCTTTAGAGATGGCATAATATCATCATTATTTTTTTGTTTTTGCCATTCATTATCTTTGAGAACTGCCATCCAATGTTCCTCACGTAGGTCATTCTTCAATAGCCGACCAACTGTTTGGGCTGCTAGAGGCGAACCCTTCAATTTCTTGGCAATATCCTTTGCAAGACTAGTTAATCCATGTTTTTTCTCGGGTTTTTCTCCTTCAAATATTAATCCTTTGAAGAATGTTAAAAAACCATCCGGCTCAAAGCCTTTGAGCATAATGGGGTTGGTTGTTTTCACATCATCAACTTTAGACGGGAACCGAGTTGTGACGAGAACCATGTTACCTGTGGTTTCACCCTTTCCCAAAGGAGCTAGCAGGGTTTCCCAGTCCTGAGTAGTGCATTCCCATATATCATCAAAGACAATTAAAATCCTTTTTGACTTGATCCTCTTTTGAATGGATTTCTGGAGCTGGTTTAAACTTGATATTTTATATGCGCTGTTTTTTTCTTCTATTTGGCTAAGGATCTGCTGACTGAGCTTGAGCACATCAAAATGAGTTGAGACACATATCCAAGCTCTGACAGGGAAGCGCTCTTCTACCCTTTCATCCTTATACAAGTGTTGAGCAAAAGTTGTTTTTCCAATACCCCCTGGACCAATTATAGGCATAACTGAAAGAGTTTTATTGCTATTTGTGCAATTGGTGATGAGATCTTTTATGGTCTGCTCAAACAGGTCTCTCCTCCCATACAAATTTTCTTGTGCAGTGATTGATCCTGTGAGAGGTCGTTTTAGGTTGACAGTTGTAGTAGTGGTGCTATGGTCTGGGATTATTTTGAGCAACTCCAAGAATTGGTCACACAGGGAGTGCATTTCCTCTATCGCTTGTTTGATTTTATTGGACACGGCCACTCTATCGAATGACAACTTAGTAACTGAACCATCATTACCTCTACCAGGGTTGGCTGTATTGTGAGGATCATTCATAGCAGCAGCACCATGATCATCATCTTGCAGCAGCCAACAACAAAAGCATCGAAGGATGAAGTTACCGATGGTATGGTGAATGGCATGACGGATGTGGCGAGCATGACCCCAGAGGGTATTGCCCAGATCCGGCACCGCGTACTGAGTGCCGTCGAGCTGGTCCTGGATGATGAAGTAGTGGACCTCGTCCAGCGCGTCCTCCGCCTTGCCCACCTTGGTGTGGAGCTTGTGCAGCAGCTCCTCCAAACTGGGGTTGTTGATCACGCCTCTACGCTGGGCCTCCCGCAGCACCACTTGTGTGCGCATCAGATCATCTTTGATCTTCTCGGAGTTGAGGCCGAGCTCAGCACTGGCGACATACGCCTGCACAAGGTCGTTGGACAACAGATTCACTATCCTGCCGACGAGCCCACGTGCCGCGCCAATCGCCACCTCCATCGTCCTTGGCGCCGGCAGGATCAACTTTTGGGGGGCTTTTGTGAGGTGAGTCTTTTGGACAGGGGTGTGGCGTTTTTTGTGTGTCAGAGCTATATGTTTGTGGGTAGTTGATAGATGGATGGATGATCAATTTATAGCATGGGACGATTCCTGTTCATCTGCGTCCTGAGTCTTCTATTATGTTCTGCTTATCAAAATAAACATTATACGCATCTTTAAATGGTGTACCTGTTGCCAGTCAAGTTCACATCACAAGGAACTGTCCTTGAGTCACAGATTACAACTGGTTCGTACGTGTACTCCTCATGGCAGTGTAACTGAATTTGTTCTCAAAGTAATTAGAGCCCAACTGAGAGAGAAAAATGTTTCACAGAATTTGCCTCTAGCATACCAAAAGTTTGTTTCCAGCAGCCCAAGAATTGTTATTGGTTTATATTTGCTTCTATATTAAATGGATTTGATTTCCATACAACAAATGACTACTATTCAATCGACCCCCTTCATTCAAAAAACAAATACTGCTGCTGCTGATACACAAATGAACTACTCCCTCCGTTCACTTTAATTTGTGGTACATGTACTAATCGTGTATTAGTGAGTGCATGTACGAGTCATGCTAGGGCGTGTAATCTGTGTACTGTCTTGGCCTGTCGTGTCTTGTGAGGACACCGGAGATTAGATTAAGTGTCCTAGTTCGAGTCAACCGGTGATCCGTAGTGTCCATCTTGGGCAGTACTTGTTGAAGGTTTAAACTTGTTCTAGTCCTCAGTGGTGGAGCTTTTTGGAGGCCAACCTGTGCCATGGCCTTCCAGCTCACAAGAAAACATCTATATATTCCTTTGTATTAGGCATATTTTCACTCAAAATCAGCTAAGATAGTTATGATTGCCCCCCCCCCCCTGCAGCCCCACCCCCCCAAATAATTTTGGCTCAGGCTCCGCCCCTGCTAGTCCTAGTAGTATTAGGATTCTTCTACGAATAGATTTAGGATATTTTGGGTCGGCGGCTGCTGGGATATATAGTACAGGTAGCTGCGTGAGTTTTTGTAACCGCGAACTCAGAAAACTGAAAAAGAAATAAAGTGAATAGAGAGGCACGACACGTGTCTTTGGCAAAAGTTTTTGTGTGCATCTCCGTCGTGATTTGATGTGATCGATCCTGATGGTGGAATTCTAACATGCCACTCCCTCGTAGGAGCCAGACAAAACTTGTTGTAGTAGATAGTCGGCAAGTCGTCGTGGTAAGGCTTCATTGGACCAGCGCAACAGAACAAGAACTACCGCCAATGAAGAGTAGCATAGGTCGGATCCTGAAAACACATGAACATAGACGAATTACGACCAGATCTGAGCAAATCCACCAAGGACAGATAGCTTAGGCGAGTTGCACGAATACACTAATGACCTACGATTGCATAACTTGGTGTAGCCACGAAATTTGGCTAGCACCAGTTATCTATGATGACAAGAAACATGAGCAAATGACAGAGGCTTGTCTGTCAACAAGAAACATGAGTGGCTGTACGACATGAAAAAAAATCCTTGGGCACTAGTTCTCCGCCACTGTGCCAAATATAGTCTAGCCACGCACTTCCTAATTTAATTTTATAATCACCACATAATTTTAAACGCGTACAATCATTATCCGCAAGAGATAACAAGAAGAGATAGTTTGTTTCATCATATGTGTTTATTGTCATCAGTAAATGAAATGGAGCTTTTAGAGGACACTGCCTAGGAATGTGAACGCCTAAGACGACTGAAAATCTCATGTGAAAAAGTCATCTCCCTTTATATCATGTCACACCATGAACAACATGAACTATGATCAGCCCTTGACACATACTTGAGCGGGCTGGGCCCGCACCTTCTATACCATCGCGACTCTTGTACGAGCCACATTAAGACCATTGGTGGCAGGGGCCTACTGCCTTGAATGCCTTCCAAGAAATGAACACCCCATTTGGTGTTCCCCTTGTTGGAATTATTGGTATCAGGGTTAGATCTATACTTTTTTTGCCAACAGAGTTTGGTTTGATTTGATCGATACTGACGCAATGTTACAGATAGATTGATGTTTACACACGAACTGCGTCACACTGGAAACATGCTATTATTGATGTGTCACATTGCATGTACTGAAATTTTAAGAAGGAAATAAGAAAGTGACTGAAAGGAAAGGGATGCAGACTTAAGTCAGATGACTTTGCATGACTGATATGTGGGTCAGTTTGAAGGCAGGCTCACATGTCAGGCACCACAAAGTTACCCGACTCGGGTCAAAGAATCATATTCGAAGGGAAGGATCGTATGGTACATGGTTGGTTGCTTAATTTAGTGTGCAGATGTAGGTGGTGACTGCTAACCAACTGGACCATATATGTGTGAAAATAGAAGGCTATGATTTGCGTACCAGACACAAACTTTCAATGCTTCTGTTGCACTGATCATGTCCATGTTCAGTGATTGTACGACCATGCATGATTGTACACACAACGTTGTAGAACTTTAATATTGTAGTACTGTAGAACATTAATATTGCAACATTGATACGTGGCCACATGGGTTGTACTCTCCTGGATTTCATGAGTACAAGGAAACAATGGTAGCTTACTAGCTTGTCCTTTTCCCGAGAAAATGTGTTGCATTTTCATCGTCACCATGTAGATCACATAACTTGGTGTAGCCATAAAATTCGGCTAGTATCAGTTATCGCTGATGACGAGAAATATGAGCAAATGACAGAGGCTTGTCCGTCAACGTGAAACATGAGTGGCTATGCGACATGAAAAAAAAATCTTGGGCAGTAGTTCTCCTCCACTGTACCAAATATATTTTAGTCACGCACTTCCAAATTTAATTTTACAACCCCACATAATTTTAGAAGCATATAGCCATTATCCGCAAGAGATAATAAGAAGAGATGGTTTGTATGATAATATGTGTTTATTGTCATCTGTTAGTGAAATGAAGTTTTCAGAGCAATGTGAACGCATAAGACCACTGAAAATCTCATGTGGAAAAGTCACCTCCCTTTATATCACGTCACATCATGAACAACACCCACTATATATGATCAGCCATCGGCACGTACTTGAGCGGGCTGGGCCCACACCCTCTATACCATCGCGACTCTCGTACAAGGACCACTAGAGCTGCGGTCACTAGTAGAAAAGGGGGCATTGGTCCAGGCCGGGACAGCCCTTTAGTCCCGGTTCAATCCAGAACCGGGACCAATGGGGGCATTGGAACCGGTGCGTGAGCCCCGGGGGCCGGCCGGGCCACGTGGGCCATTGGTCCCGGTTCGTCTGGACCTTTTGGTCCCGGTTGGTGGGACGAACCGGGACCAATGTGCCTTGGTCCTGGCCCACCACCATTGGTCCCGGTTGATGGCCTGAACCGGGACCAATGGCTTCCCTTTAGTCCCGGTTCAAGCCACGAACCTGGACCAAATAATTGCCTATATATACCCCTCGCCCGCGAGCAGAGCACTCTCACTGCTCTGTTTTTCGTGGCCGGCGAGGAGAGAGCTTTGTTGTGCTCTAGCTCACCTCCTATGCACACGAGGTGTTCGATGGAATGCCCGAGCCACACTACTTAAGCTTTGTCCTCTCCAAGCTCGACCTCCAAGCTCCATTTTCCTCAATATTTGTGTAGGTTTAGCGGTCCGTCACGGCCCGTCCCCGTCTTCACCGCCGTCGATCGCCCGCGCCGATCTCGTCGCCGGCACCACCGTGGTGAGCCTCTTGTTCTTATCTTCTTTCTGAAAGGAAAAAAAATCTTAGTTGTATGTTTACATAGATACTTGTATAATTTTCTTACTTTTATTATTGCAACTTATATAGTGCGATGGTTTTGGTATCCGCCCCCGTCGGCCCTCGTCCTGTCTATGATTCGGATGTGGTATATATTATCTTTTCATAACTATTGGTTCATGTATTGTTTATGACAATTATGCCGACCAATGTGACATAGATTTTATTTATCTAGGAGGTTGTTGAACCGGAAATTCCAACCGACCCTATTGTCGAGAGGTTAAATTTAGTTGAAGCAGAAAACAATTTCTTGAAGGAAAAAATTAGAAAAATTGAGGAGGAGAAGATGGTATTGGAGTTGCATGTTGCGGATGTCGTCGATGATCACAAGAACAAGATGGATGCAATGCGCTTGAAGATTAGAAACATTAGAAAATATGCCATTCATACCGAGGCTTGGTATCATTATGCCGTTGGATCAGTTGTTACATTGGTTGCGATTATGATCGCATTTGTTTTCGCATTGAAATGTTTTACATAGTTTTAATGTATGGTTTAATTAATTTAGATGCTCTACAGAGCTTTATGTTGTTAGATGAGAACTATGTATGTACTTTGGTTTTAATGTGATGATAAACTTCTATTAATTTGGTCACTTAATTATCTTTTCATGATGTTCTGTAATGATTTTTGACACACTTAATTATATATAATGCACGCAGATGAACCGGCAATGGATGTACAGTTCAAGACACACCTCCGAGTACATTAAGGGCGTGCATGAATTTCTCGAAGTGGCTGAGGCAAACAAGCAGAATGGTTTTATGTGTTGTCCATGCCCTATATGTGGGAATACGAAGTCTTATTCTGACCGGAAAATCCTTCACACCCACCTGCTTTACAAGGGTTTGATGCCACACTATAATGTTTGGACGAGGCACGGAGAAATAGGGGTTATGATGGAAGACGGCGAAGAAGAAAAGTACGATGACAACTATGTGCCCCCTGAATACAGTGATGCTACTGAAGATCAAGAGGAACCAGACGATGTGCACGATGATGCTGCAACAGGCGAAGCTACTGAAGATCAAGAGGAACCAGACGATGTGCCCGATGATGATGATCTCCACCGGGTCATTGTCGATGCAAGGACGCAATGCGAAAGTCAAAAGGAGAAGCTGAAGTTCGATCGCATGTTAGAGGACCACAAAAAAGGGTTGTACCCCAATTGCGAAGATGGCAACAC